GACACCTACTGACACCTGCTGACACCTGCTGACACCTGCTGACACCTACTGACACCTACTGACACCTGCTGACACCTACTGACACCTGCTGACACCTGCTGAGACTTACTGACAGCTGCTGAGACTTACTGACACCTGCTGACACCTGCTGACACCTGCTGACACCTGCTGACACCTGCGGACACCTGCGGACACCTGCGGACATGTACTGACACCTGCAGACACCTGAGGACATGTACTGACACCTGCGGACACCTGACATGTATCTGAGATATTGTAGTTTCGTCTCTGGTGGCTCTGCAGAGGCGTTGCCTTTATACACTTTTATTTATTTACAGTCTCTGACAGCATCTGTTGTCTTATGACATCACTTTAATCTGTTTTCAGAAACTAAAGCTGCTGATGCTCCGAGAACCTCCGCAAGGGGGGGAGGGGGTGGTGGAACAGGGGGAGGAGGAGGAAAACGAGGAGGTCGTAAGGAGGACTCTCACTGGTACAGTCGTCTGCAGAAGGTCAGTGTGGGCGGAGCTACATAGTCCTAACAGGTGCTTTTCCTGGGATGTTGAACCGATCTCTCTCTTCTTTGTTTCAGGGGGACGTTCCCTGGGATGATAAAGAGTTTCGTATGTACTTCCTGAGCGGAGCTGCGTTCTGGACGACCGTTACATATTATTTCTTATTCAGGGATGGAGGTCGAGAGGTCACCTGGAAGGACTTTGTCAACAACTACCTGTCTAAAGGAGCGGTGAGGGAAACACCTGTAGTGATGTCATCAGGTTATAACGTGGCAGCCCAGTGAGAACATCCTGAACATCTGTTTTTTTTCGACCAATTCTGTCTTATTCATCAGGTGGAGCGTCTGGAAGTTGTCAACAAACGTTACGTCAAAGTGATTTTCTCTACGGGGAAGACGCCTGCGGACGGAGTGAGTGAGACATTTTTTAAGTTGATTTAAACACGTTATGAGATCAAAGCTTCACTAACTTTAAGATTTGTGTTATTTAGAACAAACCAAGAACTACATCACTTTATCTCCCAGGATCATTTGCGTCAGAAACAACATCTGTTCTGATGATTTCAGATGATCTCATGATTTTGATTATTTTAAATTAACCTTTTCAAAGTAAAAGCACAATGTTTGTTTTGTTGCTGTAATGCTTTATACTAAGCTGATCTACAGAGCTTTTATTTTGAAAAGTTGTGAACTTGGGCATGATTACTGTGTTGGTTGTTTAACAGACTCAGACAAATAGTTGACATGTGATGTATGAAGAAATCACCAGCATTGTGTGGATAAACTCAGTTCTGCACGACGCAAACTTTAATGGCGTTGGTGAATGATGAAACAGGAAGTTCTGTTTTTTCAACAGTACATCTGGTTCAATATCGGCAGCGTGGACACATTTGAACGGAACCTGGAGACGGTGCAGTACGAGCTCGGCATTGAGGGAGAGAACCGCCTGCCAGTGGTTTATTCCACAGAGAGCGACGGGTGAGCGCTAACATCATCACATGGCGCCTCTTTGTATGTGCGTGAAACTGAAGTTTGTTTTTCCTATCCAGCACGTTTCTGCTAAGCATGCTCCCGACGGTGCTTATCATTGGCTTCCTGCTGTTCATGCTGCGGCGGGGTCCGGCGGGGGCTGGGCGTCCCGGCCGGGGGATGGGTGGACTCTTCAGCGTCAGCGAGACGACGGCGAAGATCCTGAAAGACGAGATCGACGTGAAGTTCAAAGACGTGGCAGGCTGCGAGGAGGCTAAGCTTGAGATTATGGAGTTTGTCAACTTCCTGAAGAACCCGAAACAGTACCAGGACCTGGGGGCCAAGATCCCGAAGGTGAGGGGGCAGGTTAACCGACATGTTGTCGTCATTTTATTAACAGCTGATTGGCTGATACTTTGAGTTTCTTTGTTCATTGTTTTCACAGGGCGCCATCTTGACGGGTCCTCCAGGAACAGGAAAGACTCTTCTGGCCAAAGCGACGGCTGGCGAGGCCAACGTCCCATTCATTACTGTCAATGGCTCTGAGTTCCTGGAGATGTTTGTGGGCGTCGGTCCAGCGAGAGTGAGGATGATTTAATGTTTTTATTTAGTTTGATTCAAAGTCAGTTTGAAAAGGGAATATAAATCAATAATCAATGAATTATTAAACCAAGTAAACATTTAAAAATCTTTATTTAAAATGAAACAGAAACAAAGTGACACTTTTTCAAAGTGATGCATTGTGGGTCTTTGACATGTTGATGTGCTTGATTCGTCAGTCCCTTATTAAAAAGAAATCTAAACGCAGCTTCATTTATTTACAGCGATTATGACCCCAACCTTTTTTACACTGCACTTAATAACAAAGTGCTTCACAATAACAAAACCAACGATCACTGAGTGAATGAGCTTTTTTTCAACTGAAGGAACAGAGCTTCTCAAATCTCTCACTCATGATGTCACTTCCTGTGCAGGTGAGGGATCTATTTGTCATGGCAAGGAAGAACGCCCCCTGCATCCTCTTCATCGATGAGATTGACGCTGTGGGCCGAAAACGTGGACGAGGAAACCTTGGAGGACAGAGTGAGCAGGAAAACACTCTGAACCAGCTGCTGGTGGAGATGGATGGTGGGTGAAAAGCATCATGGGAAGGGTGACCTGTAGCGTAGTGGGTTGTGCAGCGCCCCGTGTATAGAGGCTACAGTCCTCGCTGCAGTCGGCCCCGGTTTTGCATCGGATGGCCCCTTACTGTTTGTCATTCCCCCTCTCTCTGCCCCCTGCTTCCTGTTTCTCTTCAACTGTCCTGTCCATTAAAGGCATAAAAAAGCCCAAAAAATATACTTAACAAAAAAAAAAAAAAAAGAAACATCATGGGAAATGCGTGAGGAAACCAAGTCTCACTCTGATTTTGCTTTTCAGGTTTCAACACAGCGACCAACGTGGTGGTTCTGGCAGGAACCAACAGACCCGACATCCTGGACCCGGCTCTGATGAGACCCGGACGCTTTGACAGGCAGATCTACATCGGTAAGAAAATGAGTTCCGCTGAGCTCAAAGGTCACAGAGCCGTTATGATCTGTTTTTAAATCTTTACCAAAATAAAGTAATTTTCTGAAACATTTGTTTTCCAGAACATTTCTTTAGTTTGTTCTCTATAATTAAAACAACTCACTGACAAGTTAATATAATAATATTTACCAAACCAGGAAATTCTGTCACGTTTCTTCTGTTCTCGCTTCGTCTCAGGTCCTCCTGATATTAAAGGTCGAGCCTCCATCTTTAAAGTTCACCTGCGTCCTCTGAAGCTGGAGACAAACATGGACAAAGATGCTCTGGCTAAGAAGATGGCCGCCCTCACGCCTGGATTCTCAGGTAACCAGGAGGTCATGTTCTCTGCTTCATCTGATGTCTGTGACTTAAACTCCCTACTCTTTGTCTGTCAGGTGCTGACATTGCCAACGTCTGCAACGAGGCGGCTCTGATCGCCGCTCGCCACCTTTCAGACGCCATTAACCAGAAACACTTTGAACAGGCCATCGAGAGAGTCATCGGAGGTGAGTCCAGGAGTTTAGAAATGAGTCTACAATCAGATAAAACATTGGGGTCAGTGTTTGATTTTTTTTCTGCGTGTTCGAAGACAGAGGGACCTGGTTGAGAGACAATGGCTTTTTATGGAGAGGATGCTAAGTAGTTGAAAGGATACATGGTGTAAATGAAAAACTACTTTCTGCAGGCTGGAAAGAGGGACAGGTTCAACATTAATATCTCTCTCTCTCTCTCTCTCTCTCTCTCTCTCTCTCTCTCTCTCTCTCTGTGTGTGTCTCTCTCTCTCTCTCTGTGTGTGTCTCTCTCTCTCTTTCTGTGAGTGTCTCTCTCTCTTTATCTGTCTGTCTTTGTGTGTCTCTCTCTCTTTCTGTGAGTGTCTCTCTCTATCTATCTGTCTCTCTCTGTCTCTAAGCTTAGGTATTGTAATGTTTTTTAATGGCTGGGTATTGCGATACCTTTCTGATATCGGTATACTGTGCAACACTAGACTTATGTTTAGGTGTGGTTGCCGTGGAGACAGCTGTGACTGTGCTCCTCAGGTCTGGAGAAGAAGACTCAGGTGCTGCAGCCGGAGGAGAAGAAGACGGTGGCGTATCATGAAGCCGGTCACGCCGTCGCTGGATGGTTCCTGGAACATGCCGACCCACTGCTTAAGGTCACACTTGAAAACTGGTGAATGAATGTGATGATCTGCTGCCAGCTGTTGGCACTGTGTGAACCACGAGGAGCATAATGTTTGACAACAGTGATGATAAAGTGACTTTGAGTTCTTCTTCACCTGTGCAGGTGTCCATCATCCCCAGAGGGCGGGGCCTGGGTTATGCTCAGTACCTGCCTAAAGAGCAGTACCTGTACACCAGAGAGCAGCTGCTCGACAGGATGTGTATGACTCTGGGAGGACGAGTCTCCGAAGAGATCTTCTTTGGACGGATCACCACTGGAGCTCAGGACGACCTCCGAAAGGTCACCCAGAGCGCCTACGCACAGGTCAGAGGTCACACACAGGTCAGAGGGTCAGTCCTGAGTCAAATGTGAACGCTTATTGACATGGTTCATTGTGACATCACTTCCTGATGATGACGTCATCACAGTAAATGAGCGAGCAGAAGATTCCTATAGAATCTTGATGTGTAAGTTTCCATTCATCACTGAGTTCGCTGCAAACAGGAAGTGACCACAGTCAACTCAGCTGCTTTTATTTTGAAAGAATTGGAGATGATCACAATGACAGATTAATCTTCAGAGGGGTCAAAGGGCAATTTTAATCATAGAATGTATTAGTGTCTAGTAAAATGAAAAATCTTGTCAAAGTAAGTAATCGTTTTAAAATTGATTATCAGTTTTTCCTTCAGTCATCTGTGGTGTTTAATTATCAATACATTATTAATCACTTCTCAGCTGTTTAATCGGTTCTAGTTTCATCTTTCATATCAAATATGAAATGAATTCTCGGATCAGACATCACAACAGACTGATCATCATGTGTGATGTCATCATGTGTGATGTCATCAGTGTGAGACGATGAACGATCAATCATCAGTGAGGTTGATCATTAGTTGTAGTTGATGAATGTCAACATGAATTAAATCAGGCTGTGTTCTCTGGTCAGGTTCTTGTTCCTCAGTTCTCCTGGTTGTGTATTCTGCTGCAGATTGTTCAGTTCGGGATGAACGAGAAGGTCGGTCAGGTTTCCTTCGACCTCCCGCGTCAGGGCGAGATGGTTCTGGAGAAACCGTACAGCGAAGCGACGGCTCGTCTCATTGACACCGAGGTTCGAACCCTCATCAGCGAGGCGTACCAGAGAACCCAGCAGCTGCTGAACGTTAAGAAGGCTGAGGTGGAGAAGGTACCAACCATCTGCACTGTGTTCTAGATCAGTGGTTCTCAAACCTTTCTGGCCAAGACACACCTCTACTCTTATTCCTGTATGAGTCGCACACTAATAATTCCCACCATCTTACAACTGCAGTTTGAAAAAAATTGGAGTTCAGAAGGTTTTTTTTAAATTATTTTTTAGGGTTAGTAATTCGCCTCTGTATTAACAAATGAGTGCCTATAAATAACTGCTACAATAGATTAAAAAGTAAACCATAACGTTTTGTGTCAGGCCCCAGATTAACTTTAACATTGCACTGGTGCATCCTGGCGCTGTCAAAATTGCTCCAAAATGACGTTCGAATATTCTCTCTAAAAAAACACATAGGTTCGAACCATTCGAATATATGCGCAATGCGCATTATGTCAATAAGAGGAGGACAAACTAATACAACGAGACATAACTACTTGTCTAGGTATTTTTATTTCAGTTTTAACATAAAACACACCTACACATTACAAAATAAGTAAATAAATATGTGGTGTCTGAAATACTATGTGTTGCCTTCCCTTTAAAGGAAATTTATCTTTGGGTTTGAGGCCCACAGGTCTTGAGTAATCTGGAGAAACCCTGAATATATATGTTAGGACATTAGGTCACAGTTTTAAGGGTTACCCTAAAATCGAGCTGGCGCCTTCTCTCCCTGTTACCAGACAGATGAGAAGAGCTGGATGAAAGCCAGATGTATTTTCTGTAGATTCAGAAAACAACCCTCATATATAAACAAGGAGTTGAAGTTGCCCCCTCAGAAGAGATTCACATTGGCCCCGCATCTCTTTCCAAGCAGACTGCAGTGCTTGTATTGATGCTGAGCGGTGTCAGCGGAGATTCCTTCATCATCTTCACATCATCGCTACCCCAATATACAACAGAACTAACCGTAAAACTTAGACCGTGAATATATATTCGAATTTGGAATATTCGTTGACAGCCCTAGTGCACCCGGAGACATTGTGTATTCTTGGCCATTTACAGAACACAGAGATCTAGAATGTTCTCTAAATGTTGTTTTTTTTGTCTGATGTACACAACCCTATCTTGGAGTTCTGTAGTTTGAAATCTTCTTTCCATGTTAGGGTTTTAGATCATTTGTAAAACTCCTGAATTCTCACTGCGTACTTTTTGTGGTGTTATTCAGGTGGCGCTGCGGCTTCTTGATAAGGAGGTTCTGGATAAAAGCGACATGGTGGAGCTGCTGGGTAAACGTCCATTTGCAGAGAAGTCGACTTACGAAGAGTTTGTGGAGGGAACCGGAGGTGAAGACGAGGACACGACTCTGCCGGATGGTCTTAAAGACTGGAACCAGGAGAGGACAGAGAAGGAGGAGAGTCAGGACGAACAGGTGGCCCGTCAGATCTCTGGAGGAATGCCCTTCTAGAACCGTCTCATGGATGTCTGTGTTCCACCACAAACACAGATCTAACATTCTCGTGTATGAAAATCATCTGGAATATTTCTGAGGTTTAGACCCCTCTCACATACACATCAAGAATGCTTGTTTTCTGTGGAGTTCTGTACCAAACACAAAACTGTCACCCTGTGAAGTTCCTCAGTGTTCTCTTGAATATCTGGGTTCTACCCACCTTGTTTCCATCTTTTTTTCTTTCTGCACCAAAGATCAAACCGTCACCAGATGAAATCAACACATTGTTCTGTTGAACGTTTGGGTTCTACCACCAACAGAAACTGTGACTCATTCTCCAGTCACTTCATCAATCTGGTGTAGAACCCACTCACTCAATTCAATAATTCTTGTCCCAACACATCTGGAACCACAGAGTTTACACACAGTAAACGTTTTATTATTTTCTACGTTGACCCCAAGAGCAGAACATTCAGATTCATACGTTATTGTCTTTGAGAACTGATATATTATACCTAACAATGGTTCTCTATATTGAGGTCATGTTCCAACACCAAATTTGATATCACACAAATGTTCCTAAGCAGGGTTCTACAAGGTTGTAATTTACAATTTCACCAATTATGTCACTACACTTGACACACTGAACCTCTAGAACCTCTGTTATTAAGTTCTAAAACACAGTGTCGTTCTCGTGAGAATTGCTCTTTGCATAAAAGCCTCAAACGCTCTGTGAACGCTTGTTCCATGTCACAGGTTCTAGCATCATCAGAACCACTCTTTCCCCTGACATTACAACGTTTGCTCCAACGTGTGGTTCTAGATAAGTCACAGAATATTCATACATTGAGATAATGTTCTTGAGTCTTTTAGAGCCCTCTCATGCAAAATGTACATGGTCCTAATGTTCTACCGGATGAAACGCATCTTGCAAATCAGAACCAACACAAGAAACTTTTTCAAACTAACTGATGACGACAAGCAGGGTCGTCCACCATTCACATCCTGCACAAACGTCTAGGATGTCAAGTACAACGTGAAAATGTTTCCATACAAAGAACTGTTCTACATCAAAATACTGGAGAACTCTGTTCAGAACCAGAGGTAGAACAGTCGCAGGTTCTCGACCAGGATTTTACAACAGCTGGTTCCTTTTCTTTGGTCTACGCGGGTTGCCAAACCGTTCTTCGTTGCGCTCTAAAGAGGGAACACTGCTCTTGACTCTGGAGACATGAACTAATTTAAACTTGTGAAAGAATATAAATGACTTTTATCACTTACATATCAATGATTATTGATCCTGGTAATCAGAGCTAAGGGTTTGAAGGTTCAGGAAGACGTGGACAACATCTGTCTTCATCTTCATGACACTGATCCTGCAGAGCTGATGGCATAATCATTAGTTGATCAGTTATTGCTTTACACTGTGTGCAGCTGAGTGTAATATGATGTGAAATAATCATAAATAATGTAAATG